TCTTTGAAAACGAATGAGAAAACCGAAGCTGTGTGCAATGAAATATTAAGTAGTTAGAATACGGATTACTTATTTGTAGCTATGAGCTTTGAAGAAATATATGCATTCATAATCACACCTAGCATTTTTGAGTGGACAGCCGATTGGTTGTCCATGCACTGATTTTGCCATTCATTGAGATGGGATTTAGAGAGAAACAAGCAGGTTATGGAACAGGTGAAAATAGAAATCTATTGGGTAGATTGGGAACTATTATTAAGTTATACATACCCAAGATGTCCAGTTGACACTGGGGCCTCAGTACTATTGTCTGGGCTTCCTTCATGTTGTTCTTTTGTTTAAGTTAGAAAGAAACGTGCGCTATGGAACCGGCGTGGAACATGAAGCAGGAGGTACATTAATGGTTAACCATAGAGTTTATTAAAGTGGGGGAGGGGGAGAGCAAGAGTGGGGAGAGACAAGATGAAGAGGGTAAGAGCAGAACAGTAAGAGAGACAGACGAAGAAGGTAAGAGAGCATAAGTGGGTGGGGATCTGTCTTTTTTTTTTTTCCGAGACAGGGTTTCTCTGTGTAGCTTTGGAGCCTATCCTGGCACTTGCTCTGGAGACCAGGCTGGCCTCGAACTCACAGAGATCCGCCTGCCTCTGCCTCCAGAGTGCTGGGATTAAAGGCATGCACCACCAACCCGGCCTGGGATCTGTCTTTTAAAGGGGTCCTTTGCAGACTAGTACTCATGGACTCTGGGCTGACCAGAGTACTGCCTGAGTGCATTCTGCCAGGTGACAGGAGCAGACCAGCATAATGCCTGAATCCTTTCACTGTGTAAATGAGAATCATCAAGATATGAATGCCAGCAATGCAATGGGGATAGCTGATATAACCAAGAAGTGTGAAGGTTAAGAAAACAAAGTGCAGGCCAGAGGTCTAAGCAACATGTAAACTCCGAAAGTAAATGAGCTGGCATAGAGGTGGGAAGCAAACCTGTGACGGTAGTATCTTTTGAAGACTAGATTTTAGGAAACAAAGGTTTTAAAAGAGATAAAATTCAGAATATGTATTTTGCAGAGTTGAATTATAGCAATGGCTGAAAAGTACTTTTTAGCAACATTGAGAACTTTGTATTAAATGGAGAGTTTGGAGAACCACACTCAAGTGTGTGGTGAGGAGGCTGGAAGTATGGGATTGAAAAGGGTGACTTTCGAATGTTTTTCAAAAGAGAAAACTCCAGGGTCTCTAAGTGAAGGTAACAAAGAGACAGGAAACTGGGAGCTTGTACGGGTAGCTGCGGAGGTGGAGGTGGTAATGAGAAAGAAGTGTTCATCAAAGAAGTAAAAGGATATAGTAGTATAGCAGATTCAAACCACAGGAAAGTAGCTGCTGCTGATTACTGTTGTTGTTGCTGCTGCTGCTGCTGTTATTTTTGCGGCCAAAGCATGGGGAAAATGATTGGTGAGTAACACAAGGAAGTTAATTTTTTTTTTCATAACGAAGGGACAAGGGGTTCCTGTCAGAGAAATTCTGTTTTGTCTATGAACAGGCGACATCATCCCTGATAATCAGCTGGGAAATGGCGGGGGAAGCTCAGCTCCTCATTTATCCTGCTGATTATACCGGTAGACTACTTGTGTTGGCTTGCATTCTCTGGTTTTCTGGTATTAAATGGTACAGCATTAGATTTTGTTTTAGGAGCTGTTGACCGGACTAAGGAAGACGTGGTGACATTATAGTCGGAACTACTACTCCCAGAGTGCAGTATGGGCCCTGGGAAGTGCGGAGGGTAG